AAAAAAATCACCGCAGACTAAAAACCCAAGTACTTTTTTATTGCTTTCAGTTGTTCTTTGATATAAGGCAGTTTATTATACAGAAATCCTATTCTATAAGACTAAAGGAGCTAAATATGAAAATAATACAAATGCATCAAAATTTGCAATATGAAATTCTTAAAGGTCTTTTTGAAAGCAGTTCTAAAAAATGGCTTGCCTGGAAAACACAAGGGCATGGGTTTTCCCTTACAGTCTCCAGAAGGAACACGGCTTGGCTGACAATTTGATTTTCGCCCTATAAGACCCATTTTGGACTTCTGACTTCCAATACTGTAAGATAATAAATTTGTGTTGCTCTAAAAAATAAAAATAAACAAAAATGGCTTGAGTAGAGTGGAAACCTGGAAACCTCAACAGCAATGTCATAGGATAGTGCCACTCTCAGGGCACAAATGAGGCCACTGAGAAAACACACCCAAGGAGAGAGAGTATCACCCAAAAAAGACTTTCTAAGTATCTGTATGTCTATGACAGGCACCAGCCCATCAACGTCTATTTTTGCACTGTTTGCATTAGGTGTGGGAGTCATAATGTTAGTTGCAACGATCTTTTTCCTTTTCTATTCTCTGGAAGAGTTTGTTAAGATTGGAATTACTTTCTCTGAATATTCATTACCCTTAACAGGGAAGCTATCTAGGACTAAGGAAAGATTTGGAGGTATAATTTCATTTGATTTAATGTGATAAAATTCTTAAGTCAGTACTTCTAAGTTACATATTTCTATAAATTTGTCCAATTTATGTAATAATTTCAAATTTATTGATATGAACTATTCAACATATACTCTTATTATTGTCTTAATGTCCTAAACATCTGTAGCAATGTCCACTTTTCCATTCTTGATATTGATTATTTGTGCTTTCTCTCAATTAATCAAAATCTATTTCTTTACTTTTGTTTATTTACTTATTTATTTATTTATTTTTTGGTGGCCGGCCAGTATGCGGATCCACACCCTTGACCTCGTATTATAACACCACACTCTAACCAACTGTGCTAACCAGCCAGCCATATTTCTTTACTTTAAAAAAAAATCATATTCATATTTCTTTTGACATTCCACACTAAATTTTTCTTTTCTACTTCATCAATTTCGGCTCCTTATTATTTCCTTCCTTTTATTTTCTTTGAGTTTATTTTAGTTGTTTTTTAAAAAATTAACATAAAGATAAATATTTAGCTCTATTCAACTAATTTTCAGCTGTTTTTAGCTAAGTCCACAACTTTTTAAATGCAAAATTTTCATTATGATTCAGCTTATAATATCTTCTAATTTCTAGTATGATTTTTTTTTCTTTGACCCATGGCAATTTAGAAATGTTCTATTTCCAAATACATAGGAAATTATCTAGTTTTTTAAAAAAATTACTTTTACCATAATTGAACTGTTAGAGAGCATAATCCATACACACTCAATCCATTGAAATTTGTTGGAATTCTCTATGTGGCTCACTAATTTTTGTAAATGTTTCATAAGTGCTTGAAAAGGATGGATATTCCACAATTGTTAGATGCAGGGCCCTATTAAAACTACTTGTCCATTACTTCAAGTAGTTTGTTTACTGGATTATTCAAATAGTATATTCTACATAATCGAAGATTTGTTTATTTCCTCTGGAGGTTATATCACTTTTGCTTTATACATTTTTAGATTGTTTTCTTTATTTTCACCTTTATGCTTTAAAAATATTATTGTTCAGTATAAATTCCAATTTGACAGTTACTTTCTCCAAGTCAATTGAAGATATCTGTCCACTATCTTTTGTCTTCTGTGGTTGCTATTGATAAATCAGGTGTCAGTCTTTTACTCCTAAAGCGTGCTTTCTATGGCTGCTTTTAAGATTTTAGTGGTACCTTGATATAGTTTTCAAAAAACCCACATATTAGATGACTATACATAATTCTTGAGTGATATAAATGATTAAAGGTAAGTAGAAATAGTGGAATACAAATAGTTAAGGAAAGTGAAAAGAGTTAGATTTATGTATATCAGGACCTACGTATGCTATTTATAAATGATATTATTAAATTTGAAACCTGAACAAAATAAATTAGACATCATTATCGTCATAAAGCAAAACATGGAATATGATTGAGGTTTGAATAACCTATAGCACCATAGCTCACCTGGAGGCCAGTACTTTATAGAAGTTCTCAGTGTAAAAAAAAAA